GGATATTCAACCTAATACCAAAATCACATCAATAACACACCCCCGTTATGAAAATAACAGAGGTGGCCACCCTCTCATTGCCGGCAACCTCATTGCCGTCGAGAATTATGAACATTTGATGCTGGTTTATTGATCAGAATGACCTAAGACACAAAAATGGTCCCCTTGTTGCAACTGCCTAGGACCCACCATTTTCGTTTAAAAAGCACACACAAATACTCCGCTAGATGCCGCTGCAGAGATACAGTGCCTCGTACGTAGGCAATACGTCATAAATGCGTATTTAGTAAGCTGCTGTTCTCATCACAGACGATGGTGGAGGACATTTATAACTTACTGTGAACAACAATTATCATACATTTAAAGCTTACGAACCCACATCCAGCAATATGTTCCTGGTAGTAGTCGGTGTGAGATTCGTCCCTACATGAAGTATCGGTATTGCCTACATGCCTGAAACCGTACTGATGCCACTGTTGTGTACTGTAAAGACTGTTGTTTATGCTCCTGGACACGCATCCCTGCAGCCGAAGCTTTGCGTATGTGCGTTTTGTACGAAAGCGGTGGTCCTAGTCAGTTGCGACTAGAGGCCCTGTGTGTTACCTATGCCATACTGATAAATAAACAAGTATTAAACGTTTATGAGTCCTGATGGGTCGTATAAACATCTACCGTCATTAATAAATCAGGTACCAAGCGAAGTGGGGCAACACTAACATGTTGGACTCGCATTCGCGAGGACGCTGGTTCGAATCCTGACCAGGCCATTCAGAATACGGTTTAACATGGTTTCCCGAAGTCATTCCAGGCAAACGCTGGGATGGTTCCTTAATAAAGGCCATAGCCGGATCCTTCCACAGTTCTTTTCAAGTGCCTAGTTGTATGTTCCGGTGTCTAATGACCTCACTTTTGAGGAGACTTTGAACGCACAAACTAAAAACGTGCAGGTAGCCATACTCTATTATTAGCGCGTAAATAAGTGTTATCTTTGACAAACGCCATGCCGACAGTTGAAACTAACGTTCCGATGATGCAACGCTGTCAGACCATTGATTTGCGAGCAAACATCTAACTAGGTGTCAGATACAGCACGTAGTATAAAAACATGCGTGTACAGGCTGTGCGAGCGGTATACATGTGTGTCACTAATACCACACTAGGCAGTTCTGTACGGTTTCACGTGTTCAATTCCACTCCTGGCCCGACAATTATCACGGCACTAAAGGCGCTATAGCGAATGCGAGACATATTGTATACACATCTTAGCACTCCGAGACATATTGTATACACATCTTAGCACTCCATAATGCATCTCACATTTCTGTTGGTCAAGGTGCATGTCGTGTCTACACAATGAAACGCTTTACGTGAATGGAACTGGCAGATATGCTACTCTTCTACGGTGCGGTAGAGGGAACAGTACGAAAAGCGCAAAGAATGTACAGGGATCGATTTCCGCTCAGAAAGCAGTCATACCACACGACATTTGCGTCTGTGGAACGACGTTTGAGAGAAAGTGGAAGTTTGGAGGTGACACGACCGAATTCAGGGCGCCGATGGACAGTGAGGACAGCCAAGTTTGAAGAGGATTTGTTGAGCAAGTTGAGAATAACCCACGTGTGAGTACAGGTACTTTTGCAGAAGTACTCAACAGAAGCCGCCCCACCATTGGGCGAGTGCTTGACGAGCAATTGCAGCGTCCGTTCCATTTACTACGTATGCATACCGTGGGTCCTGCGGATTATCCTCGACACGTGGTGTTTATAGCATGGTTTCTGGAACAACGTAGTTTAGACCCTAACTTCAACAGATACATTCTCTTCACTTACGAGGCTTACTTTCAATGTAATGGTATACAGAATTTTCGAAATATCCACGATTGGGCGATGCTCACACCCCATTCGTCCACGGGGATCAACAGCGATTCAGTGTCAACGTCTGGACGGGCGTAATACATAACATGTTGGTTAGCCCCTCCTCTACCTGTTACCACATCGTCTCGCTGGAAATGTGTACGCTGTATTTCTGCGGGAAACTCTGCCGACTTTACTCGAAGAGGTCCCGTGCTAACACGAGTGGCCATGTGGTTCCAGCACGACTGCGCCTCAGCCTACAGTTCTCTACAAGCGCGCGATCACCTGAATCTCGTATTTCCTGTACGATGGTTTTGCCATGGGGATCCTGTTCCCTGATCTCCATAATCTCCAGATATTAATCCATTGGACTATTTCTTCTGTGGTTACATGCGCAGCCTTTTGTATGAAACCGCGGTGGAATCCGAAGAGGACCTCGTCGCCCGCATTGTAGCAGCTGCCGGGATTATTCGGGACAATGACAGTGTTTTCAAATGTGTCCGACAATCGTTGGTACGGCGATGCGAACTGTGCGTCGAACATGGGGGCCCTACCATCGAGCCTTTCCTATAAAAGTGTTTGTGAGGCATGCTTCTACAATAAAACCAATTGAATGCCACAGCTTTTGTTGTCAAATGCAATATGTTACCTGATACTACTTACATGTGGCACGTTGTAACGGCATTGCTCTACGCTGCTGCACCAAATATTTCAGTGTTCAAAAGCCCGCACAGTACACAGCAGCAGCGATACGGTTTCAGGTGCTTAGGCAATATCAATGCCTTTACGTCCTGTATGGGATCACACACCGACTGTCGCCATAATCGAACAGTTGTGTATGCGTATTGATGTATGGTACGCGTTGTTTACAGTAGGTGCTAACATTGTCTACCACCATCGGCTGTGCATTGGCCATACACGCATGTAGGTAGAATTGATTGACTGTATACTAGGCGCTGTATCGCTGCAGTGGAATCTTTGTGTGTGTTTCATACGAAAATGGTGGGTCCTAGGCAGTTGCAACAAGGGGACCATTTTTGTTTCGTATGTCATTACGCTCAATAAACAGCATTAAACGTTCTTAATTTCCGACGGTAACGAAGTAGCCGGCAATAAGAGGGTGGTCACCCCTGTTACTTTCATAATGGGGAGTGTTGTTAATTTGAGTTTGCTCTTAAGTTGAAGGTCCCGATAACAAAAAACAATGTTCAGAGAAATTGTACTTTCATCTCACCTGGTTTCTGATCTGAATGTTCGGGAACTTATTTCGTCCGTAATATTTAGTTCAGGTACAAAGGGTCCTATATATTTGCCACTTGATTTTGCATAAGGAATCATCTCACGAAGTCTCTCGGTCGAATCAGCTTCCTCCTGTATAAGGGTTCAGTAGAACTAATTGTTTTTACCAAACGAAGTAGCGCAATGAAAAATCAGTGGAGTCATCGGGAGGATCTAGGTTCGATTCCCGGTCTGGTCATCCTGATTTCGGTCTTTTACTGTTTTTATTTTATTTACTCTACGAGAAGGCTGGAATGGTTCCCAAATTCAGGACATGGCCGCTCTTTCACCGTTTCTGCATGTTTTCGCGATTCTTCCGTTCCTTAAAACCGCTGTCGACGTGATGTTCAGGCCTACATATACTAGTTCTTTATTGTTTGCTGGTGAACATTGGAATACAAGCACTAGGACTTTAATTTGGTCACACTGGATTTAACAAGTGATACTTATGGAAATTGAACCATAAAATATCGTACATAGCAATTTTTGTGGTACCTGTAACAGTCGCTAGAAATATATGTCAAGGATAAAAAATATGAAAATTTATTATGTTTTAATAGTAACATATCTCCCCCCCCCCCAAATTCTTGTTTGTTGTTTGAATTACAGAGAACCTTACGAAAATAGGAGAAAGAGTGAGTCAGTAAAGAGATTTGGGCGGCTTTTAACAGCGAGGCCTTGGGAGCCGATGAGAGTTATTGAGGCGAGTATGGAGCAGTGCCGGAATGATGGGGAGGGGAAAGAACGGGAGATCCCCGAGAAAATACGCCGACCAGCGGCCTCGTCCGGCACGATTCCCACATGCGAGGATCCGAGACTGGTCCGGCCGGGGATTGAGCCCGGTTTGCCTTGGTGGGAGGCGAGCATGCTAACAGCTCAGCCACCGCGGCCCCATATAAAATAGAAGAAAGAGGAGTAAATACTTACCTTATTAATAATTGTTTTTCAGTAGGCAAATTATTTTACAACTCATTTATTTGTATTTTTATACGCAAACTTACCAAAAGCAGAAAACTGATTACCAGTGTGTTGATATGCCTTCCAACACCACTTAATAGGGTTCAGTTACCACATTGGTCGCAAATAGGAAGACATACCGAAAAAGTCAGCTTACAGTGGAACATTTGCCACAGCTTAAATTGTTTCTGGCTGATTTAGCATTAAGAACAGTAGAAGACATTCTGAAGACGGCTGCGAAAATATTTTCGATAGCATTTCGACGAAAATTCAGGCGATGTCAAAGATATTATTCATAGATGTTGCTTAAATGTGGCGCATCATTTTTAGTGCTAGAAAACAACTTAGAACCCATTTGACTGAACATAAATTTTAATAATATTTTGCTTGATTCTGTAACCTAGTGCAAACACGGCTAAATCAAATACCATTTCAGGCTAAACCTGATCGAGCCCTATTAATATACCATAAAAATGGTTTTCAGCATGCTTTTAGTATAATTTAGTTTTTGCTTCTATGATATACTTAATGTGCCCAAACTTTTATTACAAATATACGGGACAGGTGTGAGTTAAAAAGACACAGTAGGCTGTTCATGGCAAAGTGAGCACTTTGACGGCCTAGTTACTTTTTACTTTCAGCAGTATTTTATCCTTTAACCATCTTTCGCATTTATCGCAGTAAATATTTAGGTGTAATTTTTTTACTTTTTCTTTTGTGACGAACTGCGTGAAATGTATTTTCTGCGTGTTATCAAAGCACCGAAACATGAGGTAAAACTTCATTGCTCCATCAGCAACATATCAGCATCGCATCTGTACGTCTGTTAAGTCTCGTGTCTTATACAATTATCTCCAAGAGAGAATATCTTAATCTACACAATACGCAAAAACCAAACTTTTTCCGCAGCTTCCTCTGGTGGCTCAGTTGCTAGAGCGCTGGCCATAGTTGTACGCAAAGTAGAAATCCATAGGTCGCTGGTTCAATTCCGGTTCAAAGGAGAATTATTTAATCACGGTAATTCCACTTGTCACCCTTTACATGTATTGGTTTCATTCATTCCAAAATCTACTTAGCAATAAATGTTTTTAAAAAAAAATTCTGGGCAGCCAAAATAGAGCTCAAGCAAAAATTTTCCTAGCTGGATTTTACAAATATTTTGAGGCAACACAGTCCGTTATTTTTAGTAAGAATTATCTCACTTTTGTGCATAAGTTAGTTTGTAATAGTCTTGTTTGCCAAAAATGGTAAAATATTTGACTTATTACTTACGATTTATTGGAAATCACGCCAAATGTATCTAAATGTTTAACAATTTTTGATAGCGTCAGAAGTCGATTAATATTGCATAACATAATTTCAACGACAAGACCATCTACTGAAGGCACGATGCATGTTTTATGAATTCAAGACAGTAAATTTTAAAGTCGTATAGGGGCAGAATCATTTAATTATATTTTTGTATCAAACATCAGTTCCAGTACTGCTGTATTTAGCATTTTACACGCTACAAAACTTTAAAGAAATTACTTAAAGATATTCTGGAGATTGTGGTAGGTAGTGTTGTGACATCCTCACTAACAGGGAGCATAGAGAGTTGTAACAGAATAACGAGAGAACATTATCCTGTTTATTTGTTTGTCAAAGCAAGTCGAAGTAGGTTCTGCAGTACTGTCAACTCTGGAACACAAAGTAAACCACAAATTATCACTTTGTTGTTTTGGTGGAATATGGAGACCTCGACAATACTATATATAATTATTGCGACTAGTCTGTTTTCTGGGCATTTTGATCTGTCGCTTATTCACAGTTATTTCATCTCACAAATATATTTGAGGGAACATAAACTGCAACAATGAATGCCAAACACTACTCTTCATGATCAGTTTCATGCGTACTTTCTTGAAAATACACGTGACACATAAACAGACGTGAAGGCCACATATCCAAAGAAGACTGTGCTAAAACCATCAGATTTAAAACATACAAATCAAACATCTTTTTATACAACATCTAAAGAGAGAAACTACAAATTTTTTTTGCACATTTACGTCATGTCGACATATGATATACTCTGTTTAAATATATATTTTTTTTGGAATACCAAAGTTCTAAGATCGTAGTTTCTCGAGTTCGGGTACATCCGGTGAGGATTCGTTTTCCTTTTTATTTATTTATTTTATTTTTAAAGAAAAGTTGGTTTGCAATAGAAAAATTGAGGTGTAAAATCATGCATTATGACGTGTACAGAATAACTGTGTGTTATCTTATAGATATATTGGTCAATAGCGGAACTTAGCAGGTTGTGTGCGATGTTAGGATGTCTCTAAGCGTTAAAAGAAATAAATATTTTTTATACATTAAAACTTGTTAGGCGATGACCAATAAGAACAGAGCAGCCGGTGTAGTTGGGAGAAAACTGTTATTTACAGTAATGTAAGTATAAAAATATTAAAAAGCCTTGCTTAATCACATGTTTATGATTACGTTTGGTTACAAAAATAAGCTTCACCGATGCTAGAAAATTTCTGCTTTGAAGTATGCTCGGTTTAAATATGGCTGTGTGAGGTTACGTCAGGGACAAAATAATATAGATAGGCATGTCGCAAGTTTTCATTGTTTTGGACTTAAGAATTATCAGGCGAACTGTGAAGCGTAAGTCCAAAAGACATGTGTAGTTCTGTGTGGGAGAACTCAACGCATAATTAATTGAACGTAAACTCAGCTTTACGAGGGCATGCTCACCAGCACAAACAAACAAACAAGCCCGCGTCGCCTTGTTCTCGTATTCATCGACCCGCTAGCCACTGTTGGCCCAGTTCGAGGCGGTTCAACGGTAAATGGTTGGAAAGAGGGCAAAAGGGGGGGGGGGGGCAGTGTCCAGTGTTCTTAACGCCAGTCTGTCATGCGAGTGCTGGTGGCACGGGACTGCAGTAGCCTCTCCCCTTATCGATCTTCCTTAATCTGCAACTTGTACGCGTCCGTACAATTTATCTTGCGACTGGCGTAGGCCCGGACACAGTTGTCATAAGCACATCTCGAACACAACACAGTGAGTAAGTGAAGAGATTTGGGCGGCTCTCAACAGCGAGGTCTTGAGAGCCGATGACTGGTGCCGGAAAGGGGGAGGGAGGGGGAACGGGAGATCCCCGAATAAACCCGACGGCATCGTCCGGCGCGATTCCCACTTGCGGTGACCCGGTCGGGGATTGAGCCCGGTTCGCCTCGGTGGGAGGCGAGCGTGCTAATCTCTCATCCACCGTGCCCCCCACAACACAGTGTCATACATAAGAATTAATGAGTCTTTTTAAGTTAGACTAGCTATAATCACGCATAGCGATAAATACTTACCTTAGCACAGTAATGATAACCAGAAGAGTTCAGGCTGGTTTAACTTGCCTCTGCGTCGAAATTCAGCCAGTCAGAAACCCTGAAGTTTGTAATACGTTGTCAAACGAAAAAATTATTTACGCTTCAAGAAAGTATGTATGTTGACGTTATTTCTCGGGCAGATACTCCTTTTATTTAATTCTGGAGCATCGCAACCACGAAAGGTTTTTGATATTTTTAAGTGACGTTAACAGTAAAAATTGAAACGAAACTAGTTCCACATTTAAGTAACATATCATATATACTATGAAATAATTATTTTTGACGGAAAAACGCTAGCAACTATATAAAACTTAATTTCTTCAGTACTGAATGTAGTAACAAAATAATTTTGCTATCGTTGTATCAGTTGTAGCCAGGATACTGTTCTTCAATTGCGTATGTGGCTATCGTTATAGTTGTGCATGTTTTAGTTACATATCAATGTTTTAAAGGAACAGGCTGTTCAAGTGCCAGAATCTTTTTTCTCTGGGGTTTTGAGGATATTTTGTATTTTCGCGACGTGATATGGGTGATAACTTGACAAAAATAATCAAATCATTTAAATAATAACGTTTATGATAATTTTTTTAGGTTCAATATGAGACTTTTAAACTAAAATATTGATTCTTACATATTAAAAAAAAAAATATTACGAGAGACAGAAACGTACAGAACGTTAATCTGACGATGACTTGTATTCTGCATACGCAAGTGTGCAAGAAAGCGCTGAATATGACGTAAAACAGAAATACTGCATTGTCAGCAGCAAGTTAATGTTCCCCCCTCCCTCTACGTCACAGTCATGGTGGCCTCCTCTCTTCGCGAACAGCCTTGAACGAGACGCTCTAACTTTCACAACATCAACAACATTAAGATACAAAGTACGATTTCTTTTTTCGTAACACCCTCTGGTAGCTCAGTTGGTAGAGCGGTGGACTGTAGGTGAATCGTAACGGACATCCATAGGTCGCTGGTTCAAATCCGGCCCGGAGGATCGATGGTAACTTTTTTAACTTTAAAGCATACTTACTTTTTATTAGTCCATACTGGTTTTATCAGTTCAGGTACGAAGAATTACTTTACATACATAGAAAAACGTACGTAAGTCACATTACATCTAGAAGACAGTACGTTTGTCCACGTGATGTAAGTGTGGTAAAGGATGTTCACGATAAAGTGAGCACTTTTGAAATCAACCTTAAAAAAATACACTGCTTCTATCTACATATATTTTAACAGCGCACTCAGTAACATGCGCCCAGTAAAGTTGGTAACGGTGGATGGAAAGTAGTTCCATATCTTAATGTCGAATAAAAAGTGTTAGGTAACCATTTGTGATAACTTAAAATTAATTCTTTCACTTTCTGTTTTTTTTTAATGCACTGAAGAGTAAAAAATTGCAGATTTGTAAAGTATTTACTTCCTTAATAATTTCGCATTTTCATTTGACCGAGGCATGGATAAAGCGATGAGGCCCATGGCACTGTTAATTTTACATGAGGCGGATGAATACACGACGTTTATACAAGTAGATCTTAAGCAGGGCTTTCAAAAGTGCTCACTTTACCGTCAACAGACTATATACACATACACTGATGTGGTATATTTGCAAATAATTTTCAGACTACATTATTCCAGAATGTAAATTATTGTACTATTTTTCCAACGTGGATAAAACTGCATTGGTAGCCTGCAACAAACAAAAAGTGAACTGTTAATAACTCCAGAGCCAAAACCAAAGCTTGTTTATTGATTACTTCCGCAAGGGACTTCGTGGCACAGCGAACACCCGGAGCTGCGATACGGGTTCAGATGTATCCCATTTTCGAGGCTCTATTTGGCGAGAAGGACGACGCACGCGTCAGTAAACAGATCAAGACCACACGGAATCCGGACTGGCGAGTGAGGACTGACACTGACAATTGATGGGCAAAGCCCTGGAAATTTCAGACATTCCAAAAAAAAAAAAATCGTAAAACTTTGCAGGGTTAGTGATATATTGTTTCGATCTGAAGGTGGCCGTATTGAACTTCATTACTATCATTACTGTATCCCTATATCGTGCATGTCAGCCTGTTCGCACGTTGTTGACTTTGATGAACTCGACACCGACATTTCGGCTACCGTGACCTTGAAAACACCAAACTTCGGATAAATCTGAACACCCCCCACAATTTAATTAACATGTGTTACGTATATGACCGCCAACTTGTACTACAAATGCTCGTGCTCTGTGATTCCGATCCAACGGCCGCCATATCAAATTCTCTTTATACTGTTTCTTTATACTTCTTCTTGGTAACACAGGCATTGCGATGTCCTAGCGTCGATTATCACCTCGAATTTTTGTAAATATAACCATGGAAACAGCAACATATTTTGTAAAATTGAATATCTCTACCGTAAACAACCAGACATATTTTAATTTGACTTCACGTCGAAGACCGCGTGACGTGGGGCAATGGACTCGCATGCAGGGCGACAAGGGTTCGGTTCCGGCCAACTTCATTTCGGCTTTCCATGGTTTCCGAAATCACTTCAGAAAAATGATGGGATGATGTATCAACACATGCCATGGCCGACCTGTTCCCCGTTCCTGCTTGATTGAGTAACTTGCTCCGTCTGTGAA